GATAAATATGACCGAGATAAAGATGGGATTCTGTCTGTCATGGTATGCATTATATATTTGGATTCATGTATATTCATTACATTTTTGTTTCTAAAAGCACCTACAGTGGTATTTTCAGTTAAAATAGCTTAATATATGTGGGACACATTCTAGTAATAAAAAGTGATGTCATGAGGGACAAATGGCAATTGATAAGGTAAGGGAAATGAGCATCACATATTAAACAAACTTTGTAAGTTCCTGGTCCCAGCTTGTGGCCCACACATGGTACCTGCTGTGCAGCTGTTGGATCCCAGTACTCTGTGATGGGAGTGATAGCACTGATTTCTAAAGAGGCCAAATCAGTGATCTCTACTGTCTCCAGTCTCTCACGGTCTTTTGAAGACTCCAACCAAATCTGTAGCACGTGCACAGTTTCTGATCATCATTACCTCTATTGTGCTTGCAGTCTTTGAGGGCCCTATATAGCATTACATATGCTGAATATTATGTGTGACCCTTTGGTGATGTCAAGAGCCACATTTGAACCCCCTATACCGCACAGGTTTCCGTCTATATTTGTGGAGTTGATAGAGGTGACTTGAGATTCTACTAACCCTAAATGACCCCTAAAATAACACACTTTACCATTCAGGTGAATGCCATTGCTTGCTGAATATATTTTAGTCAATGAGTGCCTTTGCCATCTTGTTTCCAAACATTAACCACTTGCCGATCATATACGTGACTGCTCCTACACCTATTAGGAGTCTATTTTAGGACACAACAGATCAGTGTTACCGGTAATCAATAACTGGGTATCGTGATTGCTATGATTGGTCATATTATTATTATTAAGGATACTTATAAAGCGCCGTCAATTTACGCAGCGCTTTACATATATATTGTACATTCACATCAGTCCCTATCCCTCAAGGGGCGTACAATCTAAGGTCATAGGGATCACATGAGTACAATTTAAACAACCTGTCATGAACTGGGTTCCATTCATGAACAACTTGCTTACTATTATGATCTGTGATTAGCCCGAAGCAATCACATGGTACCTGGCTACCTGTACCATATGATTAGCTTAGCCAATCACAGCTCACAATCAGAAGCAAGCTGTTCATAAATGGTTAACTAATTTGTGACAACTAAAGCTATTACTTATACAGTGATCACCCCCCTCCCCCAGAGTGGTAGTAAAGTGTTACTATGGTGACACTGAGCTACTCTGATGACAGGATGTAAAAAAAAATAAAATAAAATAAAAATAAAAAGTTAAACAAAATTGAAAAAAAATATATATATATTTTTTTTTTACATACTGTCACCAGTCAGTATACCTGATTAACGCCACACCAGTCAATGATGACACTGCATTGTGCTGGTGCAGTATGTAAAAAAAAAAATTTGAAAAAATATTTTTTTTAACTTTGTAATTTTTTTTTTTTTTTTTTTTTTTACAATTTTTTAGAAAATGAAGACTTCCAAAAACTCGCCATGCCTCTTGTTAAATACCTCAGACTGTCTACTTTCCAAAAAGGGGTAATTTGGGGAGTAATTGTACTGCCCTGGCATTTTAGAGCCTCAAGAAATGAGATAGTAGTCAGTACATCAGGATTGATCAGTTTTCAAATATACACTATATTGCCAAAAATATTGGGCCGCCTGCCTTTACATGCACATGATGACTTTAATGGTATCCCAGTCTTTGTCCGTAGGGTCCAACATTGCATTGTCCCACCCTTTGCAGCTATAACAGCTTCAACTCTTCTGGGAAGGCTGTTCACAAGGTTTAGGAGTGTGTCTATGGGAATGTTTGACCATTCTTTCAGGAGTGCATTTGTGAGGTCAGGCACTGATGTCGGACAAGAAGGCCTGGCTCACAGTCTCCGCTCCAATTTACCCCAAAGGTGCTCTATTGGGTTGAGTTCGGGACTCTGTGCAGGCCAGTCAAGTTCCTCCACCCCAAACATCCATGTCTTTATGGACCTTGCTTTGCGCACTGGTGCACAGTCATGTTTGAACAGGAAGGGTCCATCCCCAAACTGTTCCCACAAAGTTTGAAGCATGAAGTTGTCCAAAATGTCTTGGTATGCTGATACCTTAAGAGTTCCCTTCACTCTAACCAAGCCCAACCCCTGAAAAAACAACCCCACACCATAATCCCCCTTCCAACTAACTTTACATTTGGCACAATGTAGTCAGGCAAGTACTGTTTTCCTGGCAATCCCAGACACGTCCATCGGATTGCCAAACATACAAGCACGATTCGTCCCTCCAGAGAACATGTCTCCACTGCTCTAGGGTCCAGTGGCAGCGTGCTTTACACCACTGGCATCCAACGCTTTGCATTGCACTTGGTGATGTAAGACTTGGATGCAGCTGCTCGGCCTTGGAAACCCATTCCATGAAGCTCTCTACACACTGTTGTGCGAATCTGAAGGCCACACAAAGTTCTTTAGGTCTTTAGCTATTGACTGCAGACAGTTGGTAACTTCTGCACACTGTGCGCTTCAGCATGCGCTGACCCCACTCTGTCATTTTACGTGCCAGTTAAAATAGTGCAGTGCCACATAGAAAAAATGGTCTCGTCATAAAGGGGGTAAAACTTTCCAGAGGGCAAGTAGTTAATCATATTTGTTTTTTTTTTATTGGTCTTTTTTTATTCTGACAAATGGTGGTGCTTCAGGCAAGTGCTGCCGTACAACATACCTCTGTTTACTAAGAAGTCAGTAAGGATTCTAAATATATGTTTACATCTTATGACATACATTGAAAATAATCATAACCCTTTTTGGTGTCTTGTCATTTTATACCATAGCCATTTCAGAGAATCACTATACAGATGTGTATTGTTTGAGCCTTCAGATGGCAAGGCCATGTAAAAAGTAAGAGTTGGTCCAGTATTAACAAGACCGAACTGTAGGAGAGCTAGTTAAGTATTCTATTTCCAAAAGCTACCTTGGTAGTTTCAGTTTTGCCCATTTTCCCACATTTGCAGAGGAAATAGACTATGGGGCCAGAGCAGATGTATGTATTTTAAGCTGATCTCAGAGATTTAAGTTTAAACATCTCTGACACACATCTCTATTTATATCGCTTCCAGCAGAAAGCTGAATACAGAAACATTCCTGAACATTACCACACGCTCAGAGCTGGGAATTTATTTTTTTTTGCTAGACAAAAATAACTTCAAGAAAACAGTGATATTGACCACAGGGTTATGTTGGGCAAAGGTCAAGTTTTGACCAGTTTGATGAATGCTGCAAAACTTGTCCATTCTCCAAATGAATGTGGCACACTATACATGATAAATGGCCTATAAATGATGTTTCTTCATCCTAAATTACAAAGGAAAATTTTCTAAGCTCAAATACACTACTAAAATTACACTACTAAGCAGAATAGTTTGCAATGGTGTAAACTACACAAGTAGCATGCAGTTATGAATAAACCCTTCTTGCACATTCCCCTTTGAGAGCTTATCTCTGACAACTCAGGTCCTTGCTGACTACTGGTAAGTATTATCTTAGCTAGGACATAATGAAGACTCCAGCCTGCATGTGACCACTAACAAATAAGCCTTCCACCTGCAGATGGCATTGCAGAAGTCTGAAGGGAGCAGTGTTTATCTGTTTAATATTGCACTTGTCTAATAACAATTACAGTTTGAAAAAAAAGTATAATTAAAAAATAAAAAGTGGGGCTTAAAACTTAGGGTTTAATTGGGCTTTAAACGTTGTTTCTTTCCCCCGTCTTATAAAGGGAATGGATCTTTAGTCCAGTGTATGTTAAAAGATCATATAGTGAGTCAGGAAGCAAAATAGTGGGTTTCAGGGCAAGGCTATCTCAGTAAGGATGTGAGATCTCCCCATCTGTTGCCAGTCTTAACTATGTAAAAATACTCTGCACTGAGAACAAAGTGTTTCAGCAAAGAATAAATAAATAAAATCCATTTCCCAGCAGTTTATCTGATTAACTATCACACCTTGAGTTGATTCAGTCAGAAGGTATTCCTGTTTTCACACAGCATAACAGCAGAAAAAAGGTGGCTTGGACCAAATTTTGCAGAACACATGCTCTTATTTATTCTATGCAGATTCAGACATTATCTTAGGATTTAGGCCCATGGAGGGGAGATACATAGGGGGAGATTTACTAAAACTGCAGCTGGATCAGAATCTGGTGCAGCTGTGCATGGTAGCCAATTAGCTTCTAACCTCAGCTTGTTCAATTAAAAGAGAAGTATGGTAAAAAAAAAAATCATTCTTGGGTGGATGTAGCATTGCTCTGATGCTGCATCTGTCCCCTGCCGGCTCTAAGGGTGAAAACTCAGCAGTCACATGACTGCTGATCGCTAAGTTCTCACCACTGCTGTGTGCAGAGAGTGGTGACTGACAGTTACTGCTCTGTGCTCTGCCACCCCCCCTCCATGCTCAAAGGAGCGATGGGCTATGGAGGGGGAGGGAGTGGCTGGCTCAGGCTCTCAGCAGCTCACTGAGAGGCTGAGCCAGGTGTCCGTCCAGGCTCTGGGGTGGAACCCAACCATATGGTTGTGATCCTTCCCCAGCCTGGACTGGCTCTGTGATGTCAGCCAACAGTGGGCTTTAGTGAGCTGTCAGCTGAAAATGGGTCAAAGGAGTGCAGAACTAACAGCACTCCTGTGATCCATAGAAGTACAGCTAAAAGCTTTGACAATAAAACCTGGAAACTGATTGGGTTCTATACAGACCTGCACCAAATTTTACACCATGCAGTTTGTGTATAACCCCCATGAAGACTGTATTGAGCAGCACAGTGGCTAAATGGTTAGCACTTCCGCCTGGCAGTACTCGGGTCATTGGTTCGAATCCCAGCCACGGCACCTCCTGCCTAGAGTTTGCATATTCTCCCTGTGCCTGCCTGGGTTTCATTCGGGTACTCCGGTTTCCTCCTACACTCCAAAGACATGCTTGGCAAACATGTCTTTGGCAAACATATTGTGTCAATTCACTTACCTTTGCTCCACGCGTTCCTCTCGCCGTGTTCCCGTGCCGCTCCGGTCTTCAGGGCGGACTGCGAGAGGAGAGGAGTTCGTCACGCTGCCCCGCCTACATCCTGACAGCCAATGTTTGCCACGCTCTGCGGGCCGGATTAAAAGGTCCGCTGGGCCGTAGTTTGCCCATTGCTGGGCTAGCTGCAGAGTCCTGAATTTTGGGGCGGCTGCCCGAGAGGAGGGAGGGGAGCGGGCGCCCGGCACACAGAAGAGCCGCATTAAAGAGTGTAAAGAGCCGCAGCTTGCCGACCACTGCACTAGAGCACATCCATCTCAGCGTGGTCAGTTTTCTGGCTATGCTATGAGAGCATGTCCTCCAATGATCAGACTTCTGACACACACCCCTTCCTGCACAACCATTCACTGGGAAGACTGGCCGACTTTCAGTCTGTGTATACCGCTGACTGGCTTCTGTCAAAACAGTCATGCTTGCAATCCAGCATTCGATCAGCACTTTCCACTAATGGCTGCAGCACTGATTAGTGTATACTGATGGGATTACAATAGCTCATCGAGAGAGATCTCTACATTACCCATTGTTGTGTTGATGCAGGTTTGTTTTTTCATTCGACCTGCTGGTTGAACAAAAAAAAAACTGAACACGTATACCATGTTTAAGTCCCTGAGCTGAGAACAGAGATTATGTGGTAACTTATTTATAAAAAAAAGCAGAAGGTAATGTGTACATCATGCTGCTGCTGCTCCTCCATTGTCCAATCATAGGCTGTGTTAGCTTCTATATTACTTTGTAGCAAGTCAAGGAGCAGCAGCAGGGGCAGCAGATCTGTGTCAGACATCTGTGAACACAGACAAGAACTGCACAGACACTGGAATTTATCTCTGAGCTGGCATTTCAGTCCAGGAAATAGATGTTGGCCCTAGATAATGTCAGAACAAAAATGGTGCTGGAGAGAGTGGATGAAGGAATTGTAAGTGGGAGTAATGTGATCTCTGTTGGAGGTAGTACACACATGGCATTCTTGAACTTAATGTGCAGTTTTATATATCTGGAGCTAGGTCCAGTTTAACCATTTGAGTACTAGTCTGTATAGAGCCTTTCATTACAAGGCTTTTGTTTAATGCTGTGATAATTTGATTGACAATGACAATTTATATATTTTCTTTAAAAGACACAGAGCTTTCTTTTGGTGGCATTTATATTTTTACTCTATACAGAAAAAAAAGGTTTAAAAAAAATGTGTGTTTGCTTACATTCACCTTTAATTTCTTTACCTTTAAAAAAAAAAAAAAGAAGCTCCCACAGTCATTGGTATTCAGTGGTGCTTTAAGGGCTCATTCACATTGGCAGGTCAGAAAGCAGCCAACTGCAGATAAAATGCACCTGTCAATGAATTCTGAATTATAGAGAAGTCTAAAATTGAAGTCAAACTGATGCCAGAAAAAATCTGGAGCTGATCAAAACAGGCACTAAATGTTGAATGTAATCGATTTATTACAACCAAATATATTTTTAAAGATATGTGTTAACAATTAACACCTATTAATATTTCTGAGTTTAGGAAACAGAAGGAGCTGTGAATGATCTCTACTGTAACAAGATTCACCCAAAGCAAGTGAAAGAACTCGTTGCTATGGCAAGTGAAGAGGACAAAACATTTGACTCCAAGCTATTCTCTGCTTTGTGTGCGTTGTCAGAACGCCTGTTTTATTCAACGTTCGTGTAAGTATTGTTAAAGTGTTACTAATCCCACAACAGTAAAATCAGTCTGTATATGCAGTAAAGCATGCTTGTTATGCTTACTGTGGAACGAAAGGGGTTAATCCTCTGCATTGTGTAGAAAAGAAAAGATGTTTGATCTTCTCTTCTCTGATCATCCCCTTCTTCTACTGTCCCCAATCCATCTCCTGATAGAACAGAGCCTTGGGGGCAAGCTGCACATGCTCAGTTTGGTGTGTATGCTATTTTTTTTTTTTTTTCTTGCAGAGTGCATGTGATCAACACAGGGCCAGTCAGCACTCTCCAGACAGAGGTCAGGGGTCCGGCAGCCTCATAGAGAATGCAAACTCCTAATATCAGTGCCCAGCAGATCACTGGTTAAAGCATGTAGAAGTCACAAGACTGCTCTAACTGCTGATGAGAAAAGGTATTTAGCAGTTTATATTTACTACAATAATTACATTTCCATGTCCTGTGTACTGTGGGAGACCAGATATAGTGAATGCAGGGTCCTGGGTTTAGTAACACTTTAAGCCAGGAAGTCACTGTGTTATGTAACATGCTTGTGCAGGGGCAGACGCTGGCCTAGGTCACCTAAATCATTCTGCACAGTTTATTTAACTCCAAGATGAGAAGGGGGACCTGAAAACCTCTGACACCTCTGGTCCAAATAAATGTTATAGCAGTTATGGAAACCCAATTCGTTTGTGAGAGTTTAGTTTCATAGAAAGTGCCTCCTAATTAAAGTTATTTAGGATGACTTTTCCCCTTAAATCCAATCAACTTTCCTGCTACTTTGGCAGGTAATAAACACACAAGGAGCTTTGTCCTGAGAGACAACAACCAAATAACCTCTTATCCTGGGTTACCCTGCGATATCTAAGTGGTAAGAATCCTCACATTGCATTGGTCACATACAGGCCAGATAAAAATGTATTCTAATAATATGATGATGTCAGCTGTTGGAACCATTTAAAAGAATTATAAATTGGTTTACCTTTTATCACTTTAAAGTGACTAGTTTGTCACTGACTTGCTGTTCTTTGCACTGACATTCTGAGTAAGCTGATGAAAATCTGACCCAGTTCTAGTTTCAAACGATGCTTCCTCCAGCTCCAGAACTGAAAGTGATATTAAGCCTGGTTCACACCGAAGCCGACTTTGAAATCATGTGACTTCACTTGAAGTCGCACCATTTCAAACCCACGTCAGTGCGACTTGGCTTAAATCTGTGTGCCTTCATGCACAGATGTCTATGCAAGTTGCATCTGAAATCGCAAAATGAGTGCAGTAATCTTTTTTTTAAATTAGTGCGGCACCACAAGGTTGGAGTCGCACCGATTTGACAGGTTCCATTGTGGACAGTAGGGTGCGACTTGTCATGCAATTTGAAACTGTCAAATTGCATGAAAAGTCACACCAGTGTGAACCAGGATAAAGGCAATTAAAAAAAAACCCAAACATGTCATACGTACCTGCTTTGTACAGTGCTTTTGTACAGAGCAGCCCCATCGTCCTATTCTCGGGTCCCCTGCTGGTGCATCTGTCCCCTCAAAGCAAGATGCTTGCTATGGGGGCACCCAAGCAGACTCGCTCCCGAGTTGTGTGTCCATTCACACACAGAGCTGTGGCTTGGCCCCACCCCTCTTTCTCCTCATTGGCTCACTGGCTGTTATTGACAGCCAATAGCTCCCGCTGCTGTTCTCGTGCACATCACTGGACTGCGATGCAGCTCAGTTAAGTATTAGTGGAGGAGCTGCAACAAAACGTTTTTCACCTTCATGCATAAAGATAAAAATCCTTGAGCCTGTACAACCCCTTGAAGGTCCTTACTGAAGTATGGACCTGATCTGGAGGAAGAGTCTGCAGGGGCCACAGAACTACATTCAAAGTGCAGGCTCCAATTCAAATAAAATAATAGATGCATGATTTTGCTTTTCACAATATAGGCACATTTATTATTTCTTGCATAAGGTGGATTTCTTCCTTAAAGGAAATGTATGAGTGAAACATAAAGATTGCTATTGTTCGCTTGCTGCCTGGCTGTCATACCAATTCTTTGGCTTCAGATCAATGACCAGGACTTCTGAGGGTACATTGATTTTCCTGATCTGTATCCTTGTTAAGCATCAGCAGGTCTCTACAACAGCCAGGCAATTGGCATTGTCAGGAGGTCAGCAATAACAGCCATACTCTGCTCTATGTCAGGAACATTACTCGTTAGCCATTCTGTACTCTGCATGCCATGGGAAGGTAAGAGGAGGAGTTGGGTGCTCTGGTACCATTCATTAATGCACATGCTTTATTGTGTGTTGTGTTAAGGCAGCTTGTTCATTTTGAAGGAGCTGTCAAAGCACAATGCTGGCTGTGAGGACCTGGGTTTTTTTTTTTTTTTTTTTTTTTTTTTTTAAACCTACACATCAAACCTGCACTTCTGGTCCAGCCGCCTAGGCGATGTCGTCATCAGGCGATTTCCTTGGACTCCTGGGATATCGACGTCATCTATTCCAGGAGTCCAAGCGGTTTCCTGATTCTCTTTTGACAGGTTGCCATAACAGCGGGGCAGGAAATTCCATCACTGCTGCCATTGCTATGGCAACGTGCAATCAACAACCTGCGGCGTGCAGTGCCAATACTGCACAGGCTTGAGATCGGGAGGTGCATGCTGGGTAGCTACCTCCACCTAATCCTGTAAATAGACAAGAGTGGGCTTCAGATGCTTAGAACCACGCTGGTCCCTGCCTGCTTCTGAGATCAGGTAATTTTTTACAGATTGTGCATTTGTTACACATAATTACAGTTGGGACAGTATGCAAATGGTAATGTAGAATCTGTGCCAATCATGGGGGTACTTTTAGGAAAAAAACACTATGGTGACTGGAGCTCTGATTTAATTGTAATATGAAAGGAGAATGGTGGTGTGGTATCATTTTTAAAGTGGACCTGAATTAAAAAAAAATACTTTGCTATGTTATGAGGCACATGTATAAGACCTCTGACTGTAAATGCTCCCTATGTTAGTCTAGGTGTCCATACACACAGAACCTTTCAGAGGAATTACAGGAAGAAAAAACCCACTGCCAGTGCATCCAGGAACAGCAGGGCTTTGGCAGAAAGAAAACACTTGACAACTGTAAATGTGCATGCACATTTCATAATTGAGTGTTCATTTAATTGGTCAGAATAAATTATTATTATGGCTAATTACATGAATTAACACTCAAATGCTTGAAGCTTTTAAACGTGTTGCACATTGTTAGAAGTAGCTTTTTTTTTTTTTTTTTCTGTCAAAACACTGCTGCCAGGAAGAAAGGCTTCTAAGTGTAGCAAAACATGCCGAGTGCATGAGGCCTAAATGTTCAGTAATTCTCATAGACATGACAATCTACCTTTTGTACTCACAGCCTCCCAAAAAAAGAGCAGTGAGTTTTCTTGTACCTGAGGGTACTGAGGCACACCTGTGCCTAAAGCTTTATAGCTGTAGCTGCTGTGCGAGATCTAAGGCACTGCTGGTCACAGATTTGGATTGAGTGTTGGTGATGGCACAATGGTGTTGCTCTAGGTTCTGCTTTCTGGATGTTCTTATATGAGGACGCAAAAGCCTTTCCTCTTAC